AATTTGGAGAGGTTTAGGTTCAGTTGGAGGAGTTTGGGTTCAGGTTGGAGGAATTTTAGGTTCACTTAGAGGGGCTTAGGTTCAATTTGGAGAGGTTTAGGTTCAGCTGGAGGAGTCTGGGTTCAGCTGGAGAACTTCAGGTTGAGTTTGGAGAGTTTTAGATTCAGCTGGAGAACTTCAGGTTGAGTTTGGAGAGTTTTAGGTTGAGTTTGAGGGTTTTAAGTTCAGTTTGGAGACGTTTAGGTTCAGTTACAGGAGTTTTAGGTTCATGCTGGAGAATTTTAGGTGGGCCTGAGGAAAGGGGGGGCGGACACAGTGCCACCCAGGGATTTGGGGGTTGCTGGGGGAGGGGGGAAGAGGGGGGTGTTATAGATTTTGGGGTCCCCCTGACCTGGCGGCCCCCTCGGCGTCCACCCGCAGCTGGAGCTGGGCCAGGGCCTCCTGCAGCGCCTCGCGCTGAGCGTGCAGTTCCTCGCGCGCCGCCCGCTCCGCCTCAAAATCCGCCTTGTAGATATCGGCCTGGGGGGGGGGGGAAGGAATTATCAGCAAGGGCCGCCCCCTGCGTCCCCAAATGTCCCTTGTCCCCCTGCCTGACCTGGGCTTGAAGCACGGGGATGGTCTCGAGGGTGGCTCGGTGCTGCTCGGCCTCGGCCTTGAGCTTGTCGATGAGCTCCTGCTTGGCCGCCAGCGCCTCCTCCGCCTGCTGCAGCTGCGCCCGCGCCTCCCCCAGCTGCCGCCACGTCCCCTGTCGCGGTGCGGTGACACCAGGGGACGTTGTGGCAGGGGGAAGTGCGACCCCCCCCCCCCAATATCTCCATAGGGGTCCCTGAGGGAAGGGACCCCAGGGGATGGGGCTGGGAGCCGTCCCCGTGGGTCACCCTGGTGTCCCCAGGGGGTTAAAACGGCGTGAGGGGCCACTTCTGTGTCCCCAAAGGTCGCCCCGGTGTCCCCAGGGGTCTGAGATGGGATGAGGAGGTGTCTCAGGGTCCCCAAGGGTCACCCCAGTGTCCCCAGGGGGTTAAAACGGCGTGAGGGGCCAGCTCAGTGTCCCCAGGGCTCACCCCGGTGTCCCCAAGGGGGGTGAAATGGGGTGAGGAACTGTCTCAGGGTCCCCAAAAGTCACCCTGGTGTCCCCAAGGGGGTGCAGTGGGGTGAGG